AGGAGCTTCATAAGGTCCAACTCACTTCATCTCACCCGGCTTTACCCAGGGAGCCAAGACATACTATGTGCCATGTCTAAACTTACATAGGCAGAAGCAGGTCTTGAAAGAACCTCATTTCCTATCGGGGTGCCCAGCTCTTCCTGCCCTGTCAGCTGTGACTCCCTGTATCCCACTTAAGAAAAGTTTTAGTTGAACCATACCTGATAGTCAACCCTAACTTCATGCCTATGGGAATTCAGGAATTTACCCAAGGAGATACCTTCAATGGGAAACAATTCCACAGTAAAAACAAGTACCCAAGAGACTCTGAAGAGCCCAGCATAGGATGCCCCCAGGGTTCCAGACTTTGTCCAGAAGAGGGGTTTGTAGATTCTTGCCTTGTCCACACCTGGGCTAAAGCCCGTGTTTAGGAGAAAAGCCTCCAGCTCCATCACTGGAGACCTGTTCGATTCAGTCTCACACTATATCACTACTCACCAGTTTATGTGAATAAACTGGAAACTGTTTATTCACGTCCTTAACCCCAGGGTTCTCCCTAGCTTGAACCTCCTCAATATGCAAGCCATCCTCCAGCACCTGGTGGAAAACTCTGTAGCAGAAAACACAAAAATCACTATCTGATGATCAAGGCCCATGGCACTCCAGCAACCATGTACTCCTAAGCATGGAATAGTGTTTATTTTATGATGGTAATACATGAATCAAATTTTGAAAATTCACCTGGAATCTGAGCATTATCACCAAGATGTAGGCATTTGGCAAGTCAGGTAGCTCTGTTGCCCCTACCCCTTGCCCTTCTGGGGCCAATCATCCTGTGTGGCTAACAATATGCTCCCAAGGAAATACTGGCTAAGCTAAGCCAGAGCCTGAACCTCCCACTCAAGGGCTGTCCTTATCAAGCCTTTCATCTAGTGATACAGCAATGCTGCTGTGTTGTAAACTCTCCTGTCGTAATGAGAACCCTTCCCCCTGCAGCCCGAGCGGAGACAAATGAGTGACTGCAAGAGTCTTCATGGCCAGAGATTCCTGCAAGCAGACTCCTGTTGCCTTTTTACACACTCTACCAGCTTCCTGGGAGGCTCTGCCCAGTGAATTTTATAAGTGGAGAAAGCTTAGAGTCAGACTGGGGCTCTGAGAGAATGAAGCTCTCCCAGGATAGATGAATGGGAGGTGTTGCTTGCTGGTTGGGAGAGAGAGCAGTGAGGGGGCAAATGAGAAGCAGGGATCCCGAATCCCATGCTGCAACCCCTGACCCCAGAAAGAACTTCCACATGTCCTTGACAACACCGCAGAAAAGAATTTCAGGCTGGCCAGAGGGAGACAAAGTTTAAAGTTTATTATAAGGGATAGCAGCATATGCTTCAGATGTCAGCCCCGGCAGGAAGTTGGGAGAGAGAAGGAAAGAGAGAGGGGAAGGAAGAAGAGGAGCAGGGAATAGTACATACTCAAGAGTAGGTATGGAATCACATCACATGAGAGCAGGTAAGAAAGGCAGGCCAAGAGGCTACCTTGAGTCTTTGTCCAGCCTCTCCACATTGTAGATCTGCAGCTCATAACTCTAGCCCACTTCTTGGGAAACTTCTGGGCATAGCCATGTCCTCTTTCTCAACCAGCCCCTACTGGCTAATAGCCCAGAACTGCTAGATGGAGCCACCCACCAGGAATCCAGGCATGACTATTCTCTGGGGTTCGATGGGAGAGTTTTTGGACCCATAATGCAAAAGCTTTGGATCCTCATGTACGCCTTACAACCTACCGAAAGAGAACAATCCAGAAGCGCCCCTCCCCCAGTCCATCTCAGATTGGTCTCCCAGGCACACAGTAAGTTCTCAATAAGCACTGCTGGAGGGGACAGCAGAGAGGAGAGCCAAAAGCACAGGGTACCCTGGCCTGGCCCTTCCAGTGGTGGCTGTCAACACTCTCACCTGACACTTACCTGGGTACTCTGAGAACCTCAAGCCTATCTCCCATGGGGATATGACATCCAGACCTGAGCTGCCTTCCTTGGGACTGGCACCTGCCTCTCAAATGCCACTCTCCTGCTCCCAGAACTGCAGGCACTTTGTACACCCACAGAAACCAGTACTCCCAGTGTTTTGTTTTGTCTTAAGGTTTATTTTTTATTTTATGTATATGAGTTGCATTATCTGAATGTATGCCTTCATGCCAGAAGAGGGCATCAGATAACATTATAGATGGTTTGTGAGCCATGTGGTTGCTGGGAATTGGACTCAGGACCTCTGGAAGAGGATCCAGTGCTCTTCACTACTGAGCCATCTCTCCAGCTCCAGCACTACCAGTTTTAAGGAGCAAATAACAGAAGCAAGGGCCCTGGGATCTAGAAGCAGAAGACAGAACAACTTTGGCTATAGTTCATTCATTGCAGAGCAAAGGTGGCTTTTCTGGCTAAATCAGGACAGAGCAAACTAAGGAGAAACAGCATCTATTTCTTGTTCCTTTGGCATAAAGAATCACAAATAACTTCATTATCACTTCATTAACCAGGCACTGTTCCTGCAGCAACCCCCAGAACCTTAGGCAGGGAGGCCACATTGTCCCCATTTTATAGAACTAGAAAATTGGGGCGAGAAGCAGTTAGTGATACAGCTGGAAAGCAAGGAAGCACAGTATGACATTCTAGGTTTGCCCAGGAGGTCCACACCAGGCTCAGAATCCTTCCAGCTCTTGATTTGAAACACGAGGACTAGCTCCATGGTAACAAAATCCAGAAGGAAAGGTAGAGTGCAAACCAATGACACTCAGGATCCACATAGGAACTCTGCACTGTGACGGCTTTGCCAGAGAGAAAGAAATCTGGAGCCAGGTCTGTTTTTCTGTCCTGTAGCTTTTGGGAAAAGTGAGATAGCTACAGTATCCCTGGGGTTATCAAGATGGTCATAAAGGGGCAGCCCGGCACCCTATCTGCTGAGAAAGGTCTCCAGAAAACTAGGGAATAGAGGGAGACAGTGGGGAGAACAAACTAGGGAGGAAAACACCCCACCCGTGGCAATAAGGAAGAGGTGGGAGAGAAAGGCACTGTGGATGAATTTTAATGCAATCAGAAAGCTGCAACAATGATAATAGAAGAATACATTGAGACCTCGGGAGAGTGAAGCAAGGAACTGAGTCCCAGCATTTAAATCAGCATCACAAAGAAGACGTCAGGTCTTTTGAAAGGGAGGGAAGAGAATTTTTAAGCCAGAAGGCCAGGGATTAAGAAGCTACACGGACTTTTGTCTTTTGGAAATAGTGTCCATGAACTTGGAGCCTTTTAAAAGGTACCTGGTTGGGACAGAAGCAAGTTTTAATTATTCCACTAAAGTACTGAAAACTCTTCTTCCTTTCAGCTTTGTCTCTGACTGCTTCCTAAGGCAAACCTAAGGTCTCCCACTTTCCTCTCTCAAAGGGCTCCTTTTAGTCTTCCTCTTTCTAAGGGCTCCCATCTTCCTCTCTCTAAGGCCTTTGTGGAGTGAATGACCTTTTCACAGGGGTCATATATCAGATATCCTACATGCCTGATATTTACATTGTGATTCATAATGGTAGCAAAACCACCATTGTTATGAAGGAGCAACAAAAATAAAAATAAAATTTTATGGTGGAAATTATATTTCCACAAGAAACTATATTAAAGGGCCTCAAATTAGGAAAGTTGAGAATCACTGGTTTAAAGTTTCTATTTCTCCTTTCTCTCTTCTTTCTATCTATCCAGTTTCTCCCTAGTCTCTGCTTCCAGTCTTTTTACCTGCCATTTCCCTCTCTTCTCCACTGTACCTTTTACACTTTTCTCTCCCTCTTCTTGGTCTCTTGGTCTCTGATGCCCATCCCCACCCCAAAGCTTGCAGTTGGTGAGCTAGAGGCTCTGTAACCCTGAAAATGAAGTGAGGTTGGAACTCACAGCCCTGCCATGACCCAGAGTCAGCAGAGGAGCCAAGGCTGGGTTGTACCCAGAGCTTTTGCTGTCCAAATATAGTAGAGGGCCAGGCTGCTGGTCCAAGGCTCAGGAGTTAATAGCCAGCAATTTAGGTGAGGAGTTAAAAATACATGTATCATGAATGAGAGTCCTGGGCTGGTTCAGGGGGGTGGGGTGAGGCCTGGGTTAGCTCGGGAAGGAGTGTTTTGTTGTGCACTCTGTTCATTCCATAATCACAATGAGGGCCTGATATTGAAGGGCCTGTGCTGCAGAAGAAAAATCTAGCGTTGTGGGTTTGTGTTTTTTTTTTTTTTTTTTCTCCAGGGAGCAATCTGGAGGAGATAGGATGGTGGGAGGGAAGGCAGACAGAAACCAATCTCATAGGCACAGCAGTGAGGCAAGCGAGAGACGGTACAAGGCACATTGGGCTGTCCTAGAAGAGGACTCTGTCTGGGACCCTCCATGCAGAGCCAACGGCAACACCCAAAGTTCTGGGAAGGCTTCCCATTGCAGTTCACTCTTGCACCAGAGAAGATGGAGTTTAGAGGAAGGAAGGGAACACAAGGCAGCCTAGACGACCCTTGCGCCCTAGGCCAGAAGTCAGACCCGTGATCAGGCTTCTCGGAGAGCTGCCTTCTAGTAGGAGGAGGCAGAGGGAGTCGTTGCCATACAACTTCCACTCCTAGCTGCTGAAGCCTACTTGCTCAGGATGCTCTGCTCCCGGCACCTCCTATTCTCCTCACCACCACCCTGTGCACGCGTAACCTACCGGCTTCCAGCTAAGCTCCTCCCTCCACCCTACCAACTCCTAGCTGTGAGCTTCATCCCTTCCAGCCGAGCTCCCGCCTCACCCTCCTAGTAGCTTTTGGTCTGGCTTTGAGTCCGTGCTCCTCCCGCCAAGCTCCTCCCTCTCACTCCTGGTTTGGCTCTGCCTCCTCCCGCCAAGCTCCTCCCCTACCCTCCCCCCTTGCCCTCCCTCTCCAGCCGCTCCCTCTTACAGGCGGCCTTCCCCCCCCTCCCCCGTCCCTCCTCCCCCCACTGCTCTGCCCCTGGCCCGGGTAAGCATCTCCTAATTTTGTTCTAGAAGATAGAAAACTCTTCGTGGGCATGCTCAACAAGCAGCAATCCGAGGACGACGTGCGCCGCCTCTTCGAGGCCTTCGGGAACATCGAGGAGTGCACTATCCTGCGCGGGCCGGACGGCAACAGCAAGGGTGTGTGTGTGCGCGCGAGCGCGCGGGGCGCAGACCTGTGAGGGGTGCTAGCGCCGCTGTCAGGTGGTCCTCGTGGAGACCAAGCGGACAGGAGGCCGTGGGTCTCTCTCCTCTGTGCCCCTTTCTGTTACTGCTCTGCCCCCCTCACATTTTATGCTCACCTGAAGCACATCCTCTGTCCCAGATCCCTCTCTTTCTCTACCTGGGTCCTCAGGACCACGGCTCAGCTTGTCCTATCATACCCACAGGGTGCGCCTTTGTGAAGTACTCCTCCCATGCTGAGGCGCAAGCCGCCATCAACGCTCTACACGGCAGCCAGACCATGCCTGTGAGTGTGGCCCTCGGAGTGCATGCAGGGTCTCATCACCCTTACCACTGTTTCTCAGATCAGGGTAGATTTCGGTAACCCAGAGTATGTGGGGTTTAGACCGTGGGTGACCTCAGTATAGCAACCTACCGAAAGCTCAGGGGGTCCCGGGCTAGGGCGTGGGGGGGGGGGGACGCTGGGGTGAAGGCTGGGACAGGCGGAGCTCATGTGCAACCCTGGCTGCAGGGAGCCTCCTCCAGCCTGGTGGTCAAGTTTGCAGACACTGACAAGGAGCGCACGATGCGACGGATGCAGCAGATGGCTGGCCAGATGGGCATGTTCAACCCCATGGCCATCCCCTTCGGAGCCTATGGCGCTTATGCTCAGGCAGTAAGTGGGGGCAAGGGTGGGCGGGGATTTGTTCTGGAGCACCCCCTTGCCCCTCCCCCAGAGGATAGGGATGCCTACCCAAACCTATTGTTCTGTCCCCGGAGTGAAGAGTGTCAGGCATGTGTGTGACCTCGGAGTTAAGGGGAGAATCCAGGTGGAGGTGGGGTGCTGTCCTTATTTTTATGGAGGAGTTCCTAGAGAAAACCCTTGGCAGTAGTTAGATGGTCTCCCTCGCTCCCCAGCCCCTCAGCAAATCAGTGTGAAGGCTAGAAAGCACCATAGGGTAATAATGGTCAGGGGTTTGGTCCTCACTCTACAAACTCCACCCACAGAGATTTTTCTCTGGCCTTCTGATCACTCCTGGCAGGGGTTGTGTGGAAGTGATCCAAAGCCTCACAAACCCACTGTCCCTGTGCCTCTGGCCCACCAACTTATTCCTTCCACAACTGCATCCTCTCTAATAATACCGCCCTCTTCTGCCTCCAGCTTTGTAACCCATCCCTGGATGGTGGCCCTGAGGTCCTCCAGGGTTCTGGCCCTAGCCCTGCAAATACCACTTCCTGAGCAGAGTCTAGCTTGGACCACTTACAGCAGCCTCCTCAGTCCCCACTCCCCTCTGTAATAGCATTTGAGGATCTAGTCATGTTTCTCTTGTCTCTTTTGTGTGACAAAAAATGAGCAGAATTTTACCCTGTTAACTCTATATGGCTCATCCAATAGGTCTATAGGAGTCTGGGTACCATTCCCCACAATAACATGCCTTACACAGACTGGCTAACATACATAGAGTCAGTCCCTTTCCTTCACCTCAAGCAACTTAGATTTCCAAAGGCGCTACTGTTCCATTTTTAAAGCAGTTGCCAGGGAAGTGAAGACTAAGGTAGGCAAGAGAGAGTCCTCGGGGCTTTCTAGGAGAAAAGACCAAAAGACTATGTCCACTCCCTGAAGCTCAGAAGTTGGTCTCCAAGAGTTGAGCCCTTGGGGGGAGGGCTGCCCCCTGGAAGCGCGTGATATTTTTTCCACTCCCTCTGCCCCAGCTGATGCAGCAGCAAGCAGCCCTCATGGCATCAGTCGCACAAGGAGGCTACCTGAATCCCATGGCTGCCTTTGCTGCCGCCCAGATGCAGCAGATGGCAGCCCTCAACATGAATGGCCTGGCAGCTGCACCTATGACCCCAACCTCAGGTGAGCCAGTAGGTCCCTGGCTTGGAGAAAGAGTAGCAGGGGCCAGGCTTGGGTGTCATCACAGCTACTAGGGGTTTCATTCTATAGTAAGAACTCACAGGGTTCTTGACTCAATTAATTTGTCTCCAAAATGTTCTGATCTATAGGTGCACAAGGGAAGATGAGATGTGGATTCCAGGAAATCCACAATAGGAATTCAGGGTGAGATAGTTCCACTCAAGTTGTCTGTTCTTGACTAAAACCAATTCATTTTTATCTGTATTAACAACAAATGTCTGGAAAGAAAGTGATATGATAGCATCTCCATCTGAGGTCCAGCATAGCCTGGCCTGGTTCTTTCTCTTTAAGCCAACCTTGGGGAATCGGCATTTTCCAAGAAACTACACAACTAGCTAAAGAACAACATGAGTCATCCATGGATGAGTACTGTTATCAACCCATCTCATGTCAAAGCATGTCTTTGATTGGCTCTTGGCTCTTGTCCAGTACAGTAGTTTTGCCTTACCGCCCCCCCCCCCCCCCCCCCCCCCCCCCCCCCCCCCCCCCC